GTACCGCTGTAGCCATCCTACTGTGCTATTTTTTCTTGGCAACATTTATGTTGACAGCACTCAATTCTGCACACCTGTACTTATTGCTGCTTAGAGCCATGAAGTCCCTGCCTGGACATTTCCCTGTAACCATGTCAGTAATCGGATGGGGTAAGATTTAAAGTTGTATATATGGCAACTTTTACGGTACAGAGTACAGTCAGGGAAAGTTGTAAAGATAGGGGATCAGCAGAGGGCAATTAGAATCAGTGTTTCTCTCTGGTTTAGTGCCATGTGATTTAATAATCTCCTGTTACTGCTCACACTATTGGTATAAACTGAGCTTGCTTTCACTGTCCTAATACAGCACTGAAACCAATAGCTTGGTCACTGGCACAGCAGCACAGGTCTGCTGTGTGCAGGAGAAATTTTCACAGTAATCAAGGCATTCAGTCATCTATTTCTGCAAATGGTGATTGCATATATGGACTAAACATCTTAATTTAGATATTGCTGAGGTTCCCCGTGACCTCAGCCAGAGCCTTGAAAGCATCTGAAAGCAAGGAGTGACTGTCATTATTTTTTGCCTATTACTTACTAATAAACAAAGAACACATTCTAAAGTCAGTACAGCAATTAGTAGCAACACTGCAAGCTGAAAGAGAACTACTTGGAGAACTGAAGAATGCAGACAGATGCCCATAATGGAAAGTGAACATTTCAGCTTCCTTCAAGAAACTCTTGTAATACAGTGCACAGGAACACCTGCCTTTTCCATAGTGTGTATTCAGCTTGTGTGTTGTTCCTGATGGCACCCACCAAGCAGCTTTCAATCCTCATTGTTTCATCATTATGTTTTGCATTTACAGAGGCAATTTCTCTTAAACATTTAGAATTTGGACCATATGTGGAAGCTGGAAAATGTTCAGCAAAAGTTGCCTGGCTACTGTGCTTCAAGTATATTTGCACGAGAGCACAGCATTGGGTTCTTCACTGTGTCCCATGACTAGTTACACATGTCCAAAACAACATGATTCTGACTCACTGCTCTGTGGATCTGCTTTGAGAGCACAGTGAATGCTTGGCAGCCTGGAAGTTCTCTGTTCTCTGCTCTCTGAAGAAGGAACAGACTTTAAGAAGCGTGTTTATTACCCAGATAAAAACTTGTGAATGAGGTTCCTTCCCATGAGATGTGCTGCCTAGTGAACAGGCAGGCAAGAGATGAGGAAGACAAGAAGTGAAGCAAAGGCATCGATGAGGCAAACCTGCTCAGCCATGCTTCTTGGAGGGCAAAAGTTATGCTCTGCAACAATCTGGTACGAAACGTAATGGCGCTTGGTGCAAAATTTTCTTAAATTAGTTTTCCACTGCTGACCAGAGGGTAGGATTGCACAGCTGTGATAAGGGCTCCAACCACATAGCACACGAAGGAGTTTGCTCTTCCACCACTGCTCTTGTCGCAGGAAGCTGTGTTGAAGGTCATTGATGGTAAAAGTCAGCACGTCACAGACGTGAGCTATCCTCACAAAAATAGTGCTCACAACCCTCTGTCCTGCCTTTACTCTAGACTACAGAAAACCTATTTAATGTAGTGCAAGGCAGGTGAAACACAGCTCTTAAAATCTAAATTTAGGAGGCAGGAAGCTATTTGCATGGAAGGAATGCAGTGAAACAATAAGTTGCTAATCTCGCTTATTAATTAGGAATCCCTGCCATAGTAGTTGCAACAACACTCAGAGCTACTTACAGAGGAGGAAAAGCTTAAAACTACCGACAGGAAGAACTGTAAGTTCACACAATATTACAACACTTGCTATCCTACACCTTTGGGGATGGCTTATTATTAATATAAATCTAGATTTATTGTTGGTATACAACTTTGCATACATAAGTATTCAAAAGAAATAAAACTCCTCATTCAAGCTAGACATTCACTATAAGGAAACATATTTTCTCCTTACTAAGGATTTAAGGTACTGGATCTACATCTTCCTTGAATCCTGCTGCAAGATCCCCTTTAAATGCAAGCTGCAGACACTCTTAGCCTAACTGAAATTCAAGACCTTCATTTAAGTGCATAAGTACCTAAACTTAATCCTCACATTTATTTAAAATCTGGCCAAAATAAATATATCCCTATTTGCCCTGTATTTTTGGCATGGATTATCCGAGTGCTGGCATACCAAAGCAGGTTATCTGGTTTACAATGTACCTTGGTGACAGTGGATGATACAGAAGAAAGTTAGACTTCTTTTGGAAATGTAAACAAAAACCACCCTCCAGATGGTGGTCATGTTATGCTACTCATTTAGGGAGTGTGGACTTCTAATTTGAGATTATCTGAAAATGAAAAAATATAGAGATAAAAATTATTACAGAATAATCCTCCCCTCCTGAAGTTGTTCCTGTTTTGCTTCAACCTTTGTCCATTAGGTCTCCCCTACTACTTTTTAGCTCTATTATAAAATATACCCTAAAGAGAAACCTGCATATGGTGGCCAGGTATCTATTTGGTTATTTATATTGCACCTTATTATATTTATCTGTGTAGTTAGTTTGATATATCATTTTTCATTCCCCAGAGAAAGAGAAGCATAATGGAAAGCCCTCATTTCTCAAGGAAATTTAGCTCTGCCTTTCAGAGCTAAATTAACAAGACCTAGAAAGCACTAATAGGTCTTCCAGGATGAAAAGTGAAATATTACTTTGTTTTGTTTTGGTATCCTGAATAATGTGTCTAACACACCTTTTGAAATTATCTCTCTTTATATTAAAAGTTGCTGGCTTGCAGCACTGGACCAAAATCAGAATTTCAGTGTGCAAAAGTCCATGTTGTGGTCATTACTCTTGCCGGTAGCACTCATACTCCTGTTTAACATCGTGATCTCCATCAAGATCAGTACCTCTGTGATATGTAAGAAGAACGAAAATTTGACAAGGTGAGATGGCAAAGGACTCCTCATATCTTTCAGCAAATATATTTCTCAGCCTCTTGTCATTGGCTCAGACTTTCTTGTCACAAATTCAGATTTTTGGCAAAATCTTTTATTTTAAAGAAACGTATACTTTAAGCAGGTAGAAAATGAATTTCATTATTGCAACAGCTCAGACTTTGTTCAAGTGTGTATCAGTGAACACACTTCAGCCTTTTGCCCTCATTTTTTGACTGCAGCGTCACTCGATTTCAATGACAGTAAACCCCAATTTAAATCCATAAAGTGAGAGCAGAGCTGGGTCCAGCCAAATTAGAATTATGATTTTCCCAGCACAGCTGAACACTAGGCCAGTTCTCCAGCACCTTGAAGCAGATTTACTTGCCCTCTTTTACATCAACACTCCATGTATTGTCACAGGCTGTATGTCACAAACTCTGCAGTTTACACTGTATTACTTAAAAGGGGATTGCTTTAATTTTTATAAGTCCCATGAAACTGATCTGTTCAACAAAACTTAGTTATAGGGATTCAGAATTTCTGTTCAGAAAAGGATGCTATCCTGATTTGTCACACATAAAACCCTTCCAACTACGTAAATCAATGTGGGATTTTACTTCAGGGTCAGCACGGAAAAGCCCGTCCTGTCTGAGTGGCTTTTCTTATACCAAATCATTTATAAAGTAATTTTCAGAAAGAATATCAGGAAAAAAACCTTCCACATTAGTTGTTGGAAAGCAACCAACGGGAAAGTAACTAGAGCTTCGTGGCTTGAGACCTTTCACAATGATGCTGGATAAAAGCCTAGAGGAAAGTGTCTGTATCTTCTTTCCCCCACAGCCCTGAGGGGTTCTTGGATTTATATTCATATAAATATGCCCCTCCATATAAGGCGTATGAAGTACTTGGAGTAATGGAGTCTTCATTACTATACCACTGGATATTTTCTACAAAACAGCTGATTGGAAATATGTGAAAATCTCCCCATCCCCAAACATTAATTTTTTTGTTATTGATTTGATCTACTGAAAACTGAGTGCCTGTACACAGCGATGACCACATCTACAAACTCTCTGTGCAAAAATATCTGAGGTGATTATTATTTCACTGATGGACAGGATTTTAAACTGAAATCATGAACAGAGAACAGAGATCCATTTACTTAAAACCATAAGCCTTTCTTCTTTGTTTTATTAGAGCTCAGGATACTCATGATTAATCTTTGAAAGAAGAATTTTGAAGAACGGATATAGAAATGGTAAAGTCTTGATTCTCTTTGTGTGTGTCTGACTGAAGTGCTGATAGGGCACATCAGCCACATTTAATGCTTATGTCATGCTCAGCCAGGTCTTACCTTCATCCTATCCAGCTGAGGGCAATCACACAATCCTGAGACGTGCTAACTAATCAATTGCAATGTGCAAATGAGGCAACTATAGCTGCAAATCCATAGCTACATGGAATAAAGGACAACACTCTTGGGCACATGGTGTGACTCTTTGGGATGGTCCTGTCCAGGAGCTGGACTTGATGATCCTTGTGGGTTCCTTCCAATTTGGGATACTCTGTGATTCTGTGATATTTTTCCTGTTGAAAATACTTCTTGTATTTCAAGGTATTAATGTGAGTGTTAGTGGTTACCGACAATCATTTTATAATTGTTTTCCAAGTCAATTAATGTTGACTAATCTTTTATGGTTTTAACAGCAAAATATTAACTCCACACTTCCATTTACTCTACAGGAACTCCAGATCTGTGTTCTATACACTTTCAGAACATCTCAAGAAAAAAATTTCCAAAATGTTTCCTGTTTTCCAGGTACCATTGTATCTGCATTCCAAAACTTAAAATGTTTCAAAGTCACAGCCTGAAAACATTCACAGGAAACTTTCAGATCAACCCAGACTTTTTCAGAGAGTATTTCCTTGTGCACCTTCCCTAACCGGAGTTAGAAACCTACAAATATGTGAAATATAATCCTGCATTTTTCCTGGTTTGTTTTATATAGATCTCATAGGAATTTTGAAAGATGGACATACTCCTTCCACTGCAGGCAGTTGGAAAGAGATCATAAGCTGATACCATGAGGAGACAAAGGCAGGACCCCACGCTAGCAAGACAGTGTGACTGTAAAACAGCAGTGCAGTGCTAGATCCTCTTGATGCTACTTGTGGAAGTAGTCACTGAGGAAGGTCTTTGAAAGGACCTGAGGTTATTATAATTTTATATTCCAGTACAGATATATAGAAGTTGCTCTATTTATGTCCTTCATATTTTTCAAGCCTGTCAAACATGTTAACGTAGCCAATGCACTGTAGCTCTCCTTTCCCTTTCATAAGTAAATATCCAATTTTAGAATACCAAAAGAAACCAAAAGGTAAATCAACAAACAGCATAGTTCTTCTTGGCTCTGGGTCCAAATTCTACTTAATAATTCTATAACATGTTGTCTTGGTCTTTCCAGAAAAAAACCTCTATCTTTCAACGGCCTTTTAAATTTCCCAGCTAAAACTTCTTCTTTATAAATGGCAATTAGACAAAATATTCTGTTTCTGTATCAGAAAATGAAAAAAAAACCAAAAACGTCAAATGCTTGAAGAAACAGTCTAGGAAAGAAATTCTTTATAAATATTTAAGATAGATCCTATTCCCAGCATTCCCAGCATCAGACTGGTCTAGGAAGTGTGTTTCCTTTCAGAGGCAGATAGGTGTTCCCAGAATAGCACCTGGAGTGCTTCAGGTAGCACTCCCTGCTCTGAACTGACTTTGGCCTGCACCTTTCTCTCTGTGTCTCTACCCTTGGGCTTATGGGGAGTTTGGAAGAGGGGTTCTTTGACCTAGGCTTTTAAGAGTTCGGTTTTTCACCTTAGACTATGAATAAATATAAACCCTCCCGCTTCTGTGACCACCTTTCATTAGCATCATTCAGTACAAAAAGGCTGAAAGCAATGACAAAGGAAGAGAGGAGAAGAGTTTCTGGATGTTGAAGTGAGGAGTAAGGGAAGAGGAGAGTACTCGGGTGGAAGGAAGCATACACTGACTCGAGCATAACAGGTGTGCAAAGTACAAGCAGCTCTTCCCTCTTTGTGATTCTGAGCAAAGTGGTCAGGCCCCACTCTAGGGGGCTCTTGTCTAACAAGAGTTAGACATCCCATTCTCATCCCATTCCCTACCGTGTGAGAAAAAAACTGGGAAATTTAGACAAGCAGTTTTTAGAAACTGTATTTCTTTATTCTGTTCTCTGAACAAATATATTTACATGTTTTGTCACCGCTAGTTTTAATAAAACAACACCACCATCTTGAGTTTTAAATAATCTGGTTTAAGAAGTGTGGTCAGATTTACCTCCCATTTTCATGTTTTTTGAAAATGAATGCCATGTATTTTGAAAACTTCCAAGCTGCTCCAAAGAGGGTCGTGGGTGCAATCAAATGTGATGCCTGAACATTTTGGGCATCATACATGAGACTTTCTGAATATCTTCATAGAAGTGTTTCATCAGTCCTGAAAAGTTCTCCAGTTTTTTAGAAATCTGTGCTCTCTCTCTGAGGCAGAAAGTAAGTGTTCTCTGGCACTAACAAGCCTCCAGAAACAACAGTCACATCAGATATGAGGCTGAAGTTCACTGCTACTGCTCCAGAAAAAGCAGAAAAGGTATTGAAAATAATCTAGGGAAGGTAATGAATGCTTTTTTTTTTTTTTTTTTTTTTTTTTTTTTTTTTTTTTTTTTTTTTTTTTTTTTTTTTTTTTTTTGGCAGGAAGTTTATGTTTCTTTGGGCATCCCTTTTTATTTGTAAATCAAGTGTATAACGCTTGTTTTTGTCAAGTCCCTCAATTTCATTGAAGAAAGGTATTTTAGAAATTTCTGTGGTTTAGGAAAGACAGTATATTATTGTAAAACACAGCTAGGCACTGTGAGGATGGCTCCTTCCATGAAGGATAATGTTTTCTAATAATTGATATTTTTTCCTCCAAAACAAAAAGATTCTCTAAAGCACATCCCATTAAATTTTGAACATGGTTCTTTTAAAAACCTAATCTTTTCTCCATATTATCCTGAAAAAGAAGCAAAAAACCACACGAAGAATTTGAAGTATTGAATTGGAAAAGTATTGACTTTTTACTAATTAAATGAAATATCCCATATATAAGTCATTTAAATGTTAAAAAATGCTGTTACAGCCTACACTGAACATATCTTGCCTAATATAAAACGCTTTCAGCACAAAAAGCCCCAGGAAATTACATATGTTATGGCTTTTTTATTTTTTTTTTTTCCATCCAGGGAATCCTAATTTCAGAAATAGAGTGAAGTAAAATGATCTTTTTCAGGTTAAATGCTTAATTGTTACAGGAACAATAGTTCAGCACTTATCTACACGTGGAATATATTTATCTTCATAATGTAGTGAACTTTGGTATTTGTGATACGTGAGCTTTAAGGACATGAATTTTCTTCTTAACACTTTGGAAACATTGCTTTGATAAAGAAATGGATCGGAGGAGGACTGAATCATCAGTACAAAGGTATGAAATGTGAGCAGCAAAAAGTACAATGGATTGAAAAGTCTAATTTTCCAGATCTTTCCTATATTTTTTATATATATTTAAAAGCAAAGATTATTTAACTGAAAATGCCAAAACGATATCTAAATATTTTCTAATAGTTAGCAAAGAATCTCCCTGAACTGCGCCCCTCCTCCTCATTAAAAAGTTTAGAATTAAAAATGTGTACCGTGTTCATCTTTTTTCCCCTCCATTTCAGTATGAGTAACACCTGCTTACTGCAAGTTGGGATACTGATGTAAGAAGATACAAAGCTCTCAGCAAGGACAAATACAATAAAACTCAACTCCGACATTTTTCTTGTCCCATCAGAAATCACCATTTAGAAGCCTCACTTTTCAAGACACTGAAGGAAAAGGTGTCTTTTCAGAGGCATCTTTAGCTAGCTCTACAGTCATGCTTTAGTTAGCTCTGCATAGTCACTTTTGTCACTTGTACTAGCACAGTGCAGCTTCACTGATAAATGAAGAAAGACAGCAGAAATCTCAGGTATCCCAGAATAACAGCGGGTCCAGCTCCAACAGAGAGGCATCTTAGGATTCCATTCCTGCACCTCTGACAGACAAAACTCGGGGCTCAGATTCATGTTTTTCTCTTAGGTGGACAAGCTCCGACTGCAACGAATGAGGGCGTGTGTGAATAGTAATGAAAGCCTGGAAGCGACTATTCGAGGATGAACAGGCTCCTGTGCGAGGGTGGCGGCATCTGACAAATACAGGGGAGTTTTACGGCCCATTTCGCCTTTCAGCACCGCCAGCCTACGAGGGCCTAAGGCTCGTATTTCAAAACAACCCCTCTGTTGGACGGAACCCGCACAGGGTTGCCACCGAGGCGGAGCTGAGGGGGCGCTGAGGTGGCGCTGAAGTGGCACGGCGCGAACTGACGCCAGCCACCATATTGGTCGGGGGCCGCCATGTTGGCCGGTGGGGGGGGGGGGGGGGGGGGGGGGGGGGGGGGGGGGGGGGGGGGAATCGCGCGGCGGAGCGCGCAGGCGCGTGGCTCGCGCAGGCCCGGCCGTGGCTCCGGCCCCTTCCCTCTGCCCTGCCACGTACGGGCGGCGGTGGCGGCCGCGGCCGGGCCCGGGTTCGGACGGGGCTGCGCGGGGCGTTCCAACGGCGGCACCGCGGAAAGGCCACGGTAAGAGAGCGGGGCTGCCCCCGTACGTGGGGGCGGCGGGAGCAGCGGAGGGGAGGGGCGGCGGCCGCGGGCTGGGGGCGAGCCCGCCCCCCGCCATCGTTCCCGGGGGCGACGCGGCCCCTGGCGGAGGGGCCGGGAGACCCCTCGCGCGCCCCCGGGCGCGGCTGAGGGCGGCGGGACCCGCCCCGCGGCCCGGGCAGCCCGCGATCCCTCCGACCCCTCCGCCCGGGCTGCTCCCGGCGGCACCGAGCCGCTTCCCCCTGGGGGCCGGGGGAGCCGCCGGTTCCTCGCTTCCCGGCAGGGAATGGCTGTGATTTCTGCGCCCCTTTGGGGAACTGGAGAAACACGAAAAGAGCTCTTCTCCTTTCTGCTCCCCCGCCTCACCCCCCCGCGCTGCCTCGGGAAAACTCTCGTGTCTCTCTCGGATGGGGTTTGGGAGGCAGTGCTGCTTGTCCCTGCTTCTGTGCCTTGCCCCTGTTTTTTCAAGCAAAACAGTAATACCTGTCCTTCCCTTGCCTAGGCAAGATTGTTTTTCTCTGCTGCTGTGCTAAAAGGGTAGTGAAATGCAACATGGTGATGACATGCTGGTTTTAGAGGGGATCCGGGAGGGACTGCCTTAGATTGGATAGTCCCTGTCCACATGCACAGTCTCGATTCGTGCATGATGTGAATAGAAAGTGAGCCAGGAGGGGACAAAAACTCTACTCTGGTACACCAGGAAGGTTAGAAAGATGTCAGTGTGATTCTTATGGAAAGCAATCCTGAATCTTAAACGTGAAGACAAAACGTTTTTTAGTTGGTTGATCCCCCCTCCCCCGGAAAGTAGACACTGACTGATTCTATTAAAAAGCTCATTAGTGTGCATTCTGGATGTCTTCACTGAAAAACTCTCTCAATGGAGTCATCCATTCAGCTGTGTCACAGTGAGGAGAAAAAGCTTGAGTGCTGTGTAATTCAGTAATTTGAACATTTCACAGTTTTCTGTAACAACTGCAAGCAGCTGAGGTATTTAGAATCAGTCTCTTAAAACCTGGACACCTTCAAGCAGAATGGAGAACAGCTGGACAAAAAAAAAAGTGCAGTTAAATGCTTTCCTGCCACCTTTTCGTAGTTGTTGATAGACAGCAGATTTCTGTGAGTAAGGCTGGTAAATAAGGCATGTGCAGCTCATTTCCCTGCACAGAGATACGAATGATGTATTCAATCTGTTGAAAGGCCACAGGAGCTCAGGTGTGTCCACCAAAACGTG